AAGAAGAAGAAGTGGGTTTTGGTGCTTATTTACTTTGTGCAAAAACTCAGAGAAGTATTTGGATTTGATGCTGGAGTGCTGAGTTATTAACTTCATAAAAAGCAGTGTGCCCTAAAAGTAATGTCACAACTGCAGCACCAGTATAAAGGGTCAAGTGAGCTTAATCATTAGTTCTTCAGACTTTTTCATTGTCTTCTAGCATTTTCCTTTGGACATTGTCTGCTTTTGCTCTCACTTTCAGTCCAGTCATCGTACCTGTTTTCAGAGAAATGTTTTACCACTTAACACTGAACTATGAATCATTCATGCATAAAAACCCCCCCACTTAACTAGAAGGATGAACCAGTGTAGTGTCTACACAGAGAACTTAGCAAAGAATCAATTTTAAATTAAATCTTTTCAATAACTGGTCTGAAAATCAGAGCCAGCAGGTCCTGTCATTATGCCAAGTTTGGAATTAACATGTTTTTCAGAATCTAAGGCCCGATTCTCCCTGACCGATGTTTTTCTGGAGCCTCAGAGCATGTCTGAGCTCGCTGCTGTGAGTCACATTTACGAGAACATAATGCTCCATTTCCTGTGGTGGGGTCCAAATGGATTTCCATATTGTATATGTGAAGGGAGGGAAGCTACAGGAAGTAACCTGACACCAACACTGTGACTCTTCTCTGTTTGAGTCTTTGTTCTCGGATTCTTCAAATAAAACCCAAACTTCCCCATGAACATGCTTTTGTTTCTATGAAAGAAGCCTCAGGAATCTGCTTTTCAACCACTCTGACGAGCTGATGTTTATCACCGCAACTACTCGGCTGAATTCTTGAAGGTTTTTTCTATCTAACTAAACAAACAGCTCTAAACGAGGACTATCAGGATTATTATTATCATGATCACATGGTTGTTATTGCTCTCACTCTTCAGAGAAAGCACAGAAGATGGACAAGAAGACGGTGAGTATGTCATCCTCTAACCTCTGTGACAATCTGTAGGTACGAAAAGTATCTGATATTTTTAGTAAAGAAGTCTCCATTGTGTATTCTGTAGTTGTGTATACAGGATATTTTTTATGTGCAGATTCTTACTGGTCATAAAACAAACAAATACAGTGCGTGTCAGCAAGATAAAGTTACAGCATGCGAGGGTGGAGGTGTGGTCATAGGTGGCCCAAGAACTCATCTTTGTGGATGTGAAAGAATATGTGCATCATTTCTTTTTAAACATTTTGTGTGTGTATAAATGATAGTTTGTTCTTAATTCCTATTCTTAATCAAATTGATAATTCAAATTTGTTTCGCATAAATGTTCAAAGTTTGCAATTTTTCAGAACCAAGGTCATTGTAACTGGCAGACTGGTGCAGACAAGTCTGCAAGCTATCTTCTTTACCTCCACTAATTTGTGTGGATTTCTTGTTCCTGTCTGTCAGTTTTTGAGCATTTTAAATGCGAATATCTGACAAATAATATCACTTCCTGTGTGGTTAATTCTCTTGACAGAAGCAAAAAACTCTGTTTCAGCTTTGTAGAGAAAAATATTAGTGTATTATTGAGAAATATATAGCAGACATCCATGTGTGGACACATATGTTCAATGACTTGGTGAAGTGGCTTTGAAAAAAGACTTTACAAACCAGCAGCGCATCATCTTTGCCCTTAAATCACACATCAGTTAGCTGTACAACATCACATGACTGCACAGTGGCTTTTCTTTTTCATCTTGCTTTTTAAAAAAAACCATAATCAGTACAGAAAACCACCTGTTCCCTTGCTATTCCTCATCAGTCAAGTCTAAAAATAGAGCAGAGCTTTCAAATGTCTACTTAGTAAGTTGTTTTTATATTTACTCTCAGCTCCTCCCAAAAAATGATACAGGCACTACGATTTAACCACTGATTTTGGACTCTGCATTTTTAAGCCTCAGTGTTTTAGTGTCCTAGTCGCCCCATCTGGCAGACATAATGGACGTGCCTATAATACTATACTTGTTCATGATACTGTTTGTGTCTGCTAGATACCAGAGGCCATTAACAAAATATCAGTGTGAGTCTGTGTACTCACTGACAGCCTAACTATGTCTTTTTTATCTCAGGAATTGTTCAGTGTTCCACTTTAACCATAAAATGTCCTGTGGTCACTTCCTTTAGGTGTTTTGCGTTGTGGACCTCAGAATGTGACTCTTGACTACGACAGTTTCCTGTTAAAGTGGGAAGATGATCCTTCTTGCTCTGTGATACAAGATGGGCTCGTGTACGAGCTGCAGCTTCTCATAGCAGACAAGCCTGAACACAATGTAAGAGATTATTATGGGTAACTATAATCCTCGCTTCTGTAGCCTCCAAACAAAAAGCTGTTGCTCTAATGTGTTTATGATAATGTTGTAGGGTGAAGTTGTTGTGGCACCTGCACAGATAGGAGCTACTCATTCCTGGAAATGGATTTCCCATTTACCATCGCAGTGTGCTCGCCATTCAGTCCGGCTCAGGTCCCAATACAACAAGCAATCAAGCCCATGGATGGAGAAGACGCTACCTGGTTAATATTGAATTAAGATCATTTGATCTTTTTATGATTCTTAAACACTTTACAGTCTTGTTTATTCTAATCACTGTGCTTCTTCAGACCAGGGTGAAATACTGGTTCTCCCAAGAGACCAAATATTGGAGGTGGGCAGCACAGCCACATTCTGCTGCATGGTGCCAGACGGGGAAAGTATTAAAACAATGTTTCTATATGACTACAAAAGCACTAATGTAACAACTACAAAGATCAGTGAACATGTGCACTCCCTGACTGTTCACCTGGACCAACAATCAGAAAACTGGAGGAATGTAGAATGTGAAACAACCAAAGGAGACATCAACGGAGCCAGTTTTCATGCCAGCTGTAAGTATGACACAAAGTACTGAGAAAAAGGAATTACTGTACACACAACACAGGCCAGGAAGCTTTTGATAGCATTTTGTCTTAATAAACAAAACCATCCCTTAAAAACTGTATTTTGTATTTACTCTTTTTTTGTCTATTGTTAACATTTGTTTGATGATTTGAAACATTTAAATTTGGCACAATGAGGCCAAATACTTTTTCACTGCACTGTAGCATTTGAGGGCGGTTTGTGTTTTTGTCAAATGTACCTTGTAATTAAATGCTGGTTCTTCTTTTTTGTTTTCTTGAAATTTCCCTTAAATTTAGACCCCCCTAGTGACAGTAGTCTTCAGTGTGAAACCCAGGATCTGAAATCCATCAATTGTTTTTGGAATATAACAAGGAAAATAGAGGATGTTGAAGAAGTGAGAAGAAAATACCTGCTCCAGGGAAGGTAAAAGGAAATACATAACACCTCTGATGTAACAATGAGCTCCAGTATGGGACTAAAGAAAGGCTCTAAGGATCCGAGTGTCAGAATAAGTAAATTAAATGTAATCTGACTACTGATTTCAGAAAAATATTTCTTACCCATAAACCTTCAGTTGGTTCACTCTTCTATAACAATGCGCAGTATGAATCAGCGCTATTATACAGTCACTCCCTGCTTTACATGTAAATGTCTTTGTTGTACTAGATTTCATTTCATTTTCTCTTTCTGAATAATTGATGAAGCAACCTCTGTTGGAGTAGTGAGGTAGACGGGAATATGTGAATGGCCGCAGTTGGGACCACTGAAAATCTCTTATGTTTATAGTATGTTTGTTATATACATCGGTTAGTTTGTCTTTTTCTCTTTCTCTCACTATGAAAGCTAATGGGCTAAATGGATACCACGCTCAGGCACAGTAGTATCGAGTACTGCATCATCCTTTGTGTTTACTTTGTGGTAAACAGAGAAGCCAACAGAGGCCTTTGTGGTAAAGATTTAAGCTACTTATGCTTTTGCACTACAGCATTGGGAAAATGCTCACAAAACCTGCCGGTGGAGACTAGTGAGAGAAAGGGCCTTTATTTGCTTCCATAAAAAATTAGCAGTCCTGCTGGGTTCTTCGATTTTTTTGTTGTTAATATTTAAGCAGTGTATATTTTTACATTTTAGCCCATGCGACATTGGACCAGAGCATCAATTGGGTAATTGTTCGCAAAAAGTGGAGCTGGATGCTGCTGAGAGGAACTGGACCTTAACAGTAACTAATCCTCTGGGAAAGCTTGAGCTCCATGACAGGGCAGACCTGACCAAAAGAGGTAAAACTTTGGAAAAAATGACCATTCTTAATCCTTAAGATTAGCTGATTGTTGTGATCTCTTGTTTTAGTGCACGTGGTCGCTCCAGACGAAGTAGCAGCTTCAACTGTGAACCCCAGAAACATCAGTCTGAAATGGAGCTGGAAAGGGAAGAAGTACAGTAATCTCAACCTCACATGCCAAGTAGATGTCAGCGATGGAAACTCTAATACCAAAGTGAATAGATTAAAAAGGAAGCTTAGGTATTGGCTTTTCAAAGTAAAAGTCTTCACTGAAGTCAGCTAACATAATTTTTGTCCTTGTAGGTTTACCAGACTGAAAACTTTGGAGTTGGCCTCACAACTGCAGTCATCAAGGACTTGATACCACACTGGAACTATGACGTGAGGGTCCGATGTGGAACAGCACAGCATTTCTGGAAATGGGGTGACTGGAGCAAAAGTGTAAAAATCCACACAAAGGGTGATGGTAAGTTGTTTTTTGGTTTTTTTTTTAAGAGAAAAGACTTTAAAAATGTGTGAATGTAACAGATGTTGTTTGTCTGGTTGCACCACAGTTCCAGATGCTCTTGACGTGTGGATGAAGGTGAAGGAAGACCAGACTGTAATCTCCTGGAAGGTGAGTCCAAGTTGGCTTTTACAAGGCTTTTATGAGGCCTCTTGGTAAGGTCTAAATCTGGAAACTGACTTTGTTTTGGAGACAGCCTCAAGTGGTCTTTAGAAAAACTAGAGCTTTTGGTACTTGCATGTTGGATTCATTTTTTGCCTCACAACTTGATGCAATAAAAACATATCTTTAATAAACCTATTTGAAAAAAATATCAGTGCAACATCTTATACAGTTAGAAAGTGATGTTTCAGAGGACACTGTTACCATTTCAGGTCTTGATGTTACTTCTCCACAGGTGCCACTGACCAGTCAGAGCCATGGAGAAATCTTTGACTACAAAGTGTCCTGGGCAAAGACCAAAGACAAAAATCAGTCAAACCAAACCAACGTGTCCAGAAGCAATCACAGTCTTACACTCACGCTGGACCCCAGTGAGGAGCACATGGTCACTGTCACGGCTAGAAACATAAACGGCAGCTCATCACCATCGACCATCATCATTCCCCGCCGCAATCTAGGTATGAAGCTAACAGAGCACCACACATTACAGATAAGCTCACTTTGATTTCCATTTGGGGAAGAGGTTTGATTTTATCTAATCTGTGCAGAAGCCTGTAAGCAAAGGGTTTTCCAAACTAATGCAGAAATGGAATAGCAGTTTTCATGATCACATGATTGAGATTATATGTATTATAAGTATACAAATTTGTAATTGTTGTGTTTATATTCTATATATCCAAGTCATGATGAATATGTACATTTTTGCACATTTTATTGGTCTGCGAAGGGAAGCCAAATGCCTTAAAAGTGCATTAAACTGCTTTTAAAACCCATAAAAAATTTTCAAGGTTTAACTATACATACTGATTTAACCTCTTCCTTTTTTACATGGAGTATGTTGTAAAATCTAATTTTAAAGAGTATTTTTCAGATAAGTCCGAGGTGAAGACCTCCTGGATCAGTGGCAGCAATGGTAGCTTCTTCCTGTCTTGGCCTGATCGTCTTAACGCCAGCTGTGGCTACATAGTGGACTGGTGTCCAATCTTCGGTAATTGCTCCTTCGAGTGGATGAAAGTGTCTCTCAACAGAACTCATACCACAATTTTTTCAAGTACGTTCTCATCTTTGCCTACAAAACTGTTGCAGATCATATTTGCATCTGTTTCAGCACAGCTCCTTTTGTTGTTCCAGAGAACTTTGAAGATGGTCGGAGATACCTGCTGTCCATATACGCCTGCACTGAGGGAGCTGCGGTGCTACTACAGAGAAGAGAGGGCTACATCAGAGAGACCAGTAAGACTGATTCAGTGATTTCTCACAAAATGTGATGGTTCAATCAGCAGTGTATTTCATGCATGTCACATCTTTCCAGAAATAGGAGGCGAGCTGTTTAAACTCAAATACAAACAGGAAGACTCGGCTGTTGAGGTATCCTGGGAGCCCATACCTCTGGAAAAGCAGACTGCTTCCATCCATGGATATATTCTCTACTACCAGGACAAGAGCGGGAATGTTTTTAACGTGAGCACAGGTACAGTATGAAGGCATACTCACTCAGGCTAGCTAAGATTTCAGTCTGGACATTAAGCATAGGATCAGCTTCATGTTTACTTCCTGCCATACGATGAGCTTTCTCTCCACCTACGAGGATCCTCAGCATGAACTGTTATTCTTCTCAGCATCTGTTTTACTGTCAGCGGTGCCTCAAAATGTGTTTGAGTTTGGGAAATGAAAGAGTGTTTGGATGGAACATAGACTTATATAATGCCCCCTTGTGGTGCAAGTTTAAAAGAAACCAAGTCCCCCTTTTTTGTGGTGTCAGTCTGTCGATTTAAGCAAAGTATGACTGAAATTGGATAAATTAACTAAGAATTATAACAGTTTAACTTGGTTGCAGAAAAGATCAGATTGGGGGGGAAGTGTCTGACACAAAAAAGTTTTAATATATATTATCTTAGCCAAATCCTTTTGTTCTTTATTGCACACTTAACTGCAATATTTTGCTGAGTTTGTTTATAAATGTATCGCTGGCACTAGTAGGACGGCACACTTAAAGCCTTTACACACTGGACGCGCAAAGGTTGTGCAAATATTTTGTGTGTTATAAATATTTTTCAGATTTACCTATTCTTAATACAGTTGTTCACACCAACAATGTAATTTTGCTCAGTGAATTTATGGCTTTTCTTTTTTTGAACCATGAACCATTTTTCTGATTCTATGGGTGCAAAGACACAGATCTGACCAATTAGACCACTGCATTTAGTGCGCTGTAGCTCAAAACAAATATCACACCGTGATCCTTAAGTATGTTCAAATGCGGCTGTGATACAACCTCCTGGTTTAAACCAGAATCTTTTCTTCTTTTTCTGGTTCAAAGTTTCAGGACCAGCTATCATCACTTCATGTTTTGATTGCTTCTACAGTGTGATTTTTAAAGGACATATTTTTCAGAAAAACACAAAGCTTTCTGTGTGTATATACACAATACGAGTTCACATCTGAAATATTTAGAATTTTGTGCCGTTTTCTTGCAAAACTATTAAGTTTCTCTTCTGATAACAAAGTCCTGGTTTTGTTTCTCCACACACAAAGATTAGCTTGTGACTGAGATGAATAAAGTAAGTCTCCAGTGTTGCCCGATGATCGTAAACATGTATTTATGTTGTAATAATGACGGTCACTCTGTGTTGATTTAGATGATCCTGGAGCCACCAGCCTCACTGCAAAGAACCTGAACATCAGTACGTACACCTTCACGGTGACAGCATCAACAGCATTTGGACTTTGTGGTAATACATCCATCAATGTCACCTTGAATCCCCCGGGTAGGTTAATTATTTCCCCATGTGGACTATTTTCTTTAGTTAGACTGTCAACATTTGTCATTTTCTTTGATTTACTTGATGTGATTCATTGTTTTCACCAGCTGATCACTTGATAGTGCTGATCTTGACATCCCTGGGAGCAGTTTTTCTTATTCTGTCTGTCAGCACAATTATCTGCTACAGACACTGGGCATGGTAAGCAATGCACATTTATTTTCTGTGAAATATTGTTCACTTTTGCTTCCAATCATTGTTTTTGTTTAAATTTTGATGCATTCTTTGACCCAACAGCATCAAGAACAAAGTCTATCCTCCAATCCCAAAGCCAGTGCTGACTGAAAAGTGGCTGACATCACCGGTAAGTTTTTTTGGTTCCTAAATCTAACCAATTAGTTTCTGGTGCCAAACTTAAGTTCAACTTAACTCTCAGATATATTTCAGATGTAGAGTTGGGCGCATTAACAGGGTATTCAAATGTTTGCACACTGACTCACTTTTTGCTGATTCACTTTTAGAGCCATTTGAAGTGTTTTGGACATTATAGCATTAGCTAGCTAATGCTAAATCTGTTCACTACAAATTTTTACTATTCTGTTATTTATTGGTTCCCTTGTATAGTGCATCATCATAATCGATATGGATCCAGATGTCTTTCCTGTGAATGTGAGGTCATTTTCTTTGTTTTTCAGGATGAACATACAGTTCGTCATTTTCCCTTTGATCAGAGTCACTACAGAGAGGTCTGGGATGTTCCTGAACTACATGATCAATTCAGACCACCACAGCCTGTTGTTGGCCAGGACTACATGCCTTTTACCTTCTCTCAGACTCCCAAAGGTTACTACAATAAGCCTCTGAAGAAACTCCAGCCATCCCTTACTTTACCCACTACAGGCCTCACATCTCAGCCAGGCTTGCCATCTTTTCCAATTACTGATGTATTTCCTAACCCTTCATATAACCTGATAGTACAGGGTGAGGACCAGGAGTCACAATCACATCCCGAGATCCAGGAAGGGATGCCTATAACTGATAGTGAATGCCAGCCACAGAGTCCTGAAGAGAGCTTTACCACAGCTGAGTTACAAGAGGAACCAGACAGTCCCATTTTCTGTGTGTCCACATACATATTGTTACCACAGAAAAGTTCCAAATAGCGGCTGCATGGTGAACACATTTAAGCCTTGCACACGTACTTGAAGAGACCTTAACTACTGCATATAACACAAGCTGCCCTCATCCACACAGTGACCTGGTAGATGTTCAAAGAGCTCTACTGTTTTCATGTTTAGCTTCAATTAAAAGCATGCAATACATTTTAGTTCAGTTCTGTACATTGGTGGTGTTGTGGTGCTCGTTAGCACTGTCGCCTTGTTGCAGGAAGGTTGTGCGTTCAAATCACCTGTCAACCATTTCTCACGACAGGAAAATATGTGATTCCTTACTGGTTACAGCTGTGTCACTTTGGCCAGTGGTCAGTTGTGGATTTAAAGAGATGACAGCAGGCTAGAATAAAACGTAACACCAACACACTAACCAACACCTACAACTGCAGCTGGCTTCCTTTTATACTCACTTCATGTGAGACCACCCAGATCTGGGGTAAGAAACAAATGGAAAAAAATACACATCCACATACAATTCAATTCAATTTTATTTATATAGCGCCAAATCACAACAAAAGTTGCCTCAAGGTGCTTCATAGATACAGAGAAAAACTCAACAATCATATGACCCCCTATGAGCAAGCACTTTGGCGACAGTGGGAAGGAAAAACTCCCTTTTAACAGGAAGAAACCTCCAGCAGAACCAGGCTCA